CGGTGCTACCGCAAACCTACTTTCTATCTTATTTTCCTGTTTTCATGCTGATCGTCCTTTTGTTTCTGTCTGGTAGGATCGGCCAGGAAACTTGAATTGAAAACTACGTCCGCAAAACGTTCCCAAATACACAGTACTTGGATATTTATGCTTATTATCGCCCTCCCTGTTCTATGTAATCGGAAGGTTTGGGGTAATTTTTTCATTCGACGATTTTCAATTACCCTATATGTCGATTATTATCACAATATCGGACGGTATAACATTATTAATACGACTATTACAACTCTTCGCCTCTACTTGCCCAACCCTTCCTTTCTTATCGAGGCTTAAGACCAGCCATCGTGTTTCGTGGAAGCCTAAAGTAATGGCCACTAAAAGATCCCGTCAAGTTCTGTCCTGATGCTTGATATTTTCATTGCAGAATGATGTACCAAAAGCCAATAAGCAAGGTGATAAAAACTGATTACAAATCATGTAAAGCCGATATTGAGGTTTGAATAATTGCCAAAGGATATCAGATTAATGAAGATCTTGCCATTTACCTTGGTCCGTGCAGAGGATAGGACGCACATGTACTTCAAATTTGAATACCAAATACAGCAATATGATCGGAGTTTAGCATGTAATTACTGCACTTTTTGATAAAATGAAAATCTGAAGTTACAAATAATTGTGAAGTTGAACGTTATCGTTTCATTGTATGAAATCAAGCCTGAAATAATTTTCGAACTTGTTTTAACAACCCATTTTACATTTCAACTCTACGGGATTGAAGAAACGAAACAAGGAAAAACTGTGTGCGAGAGTACGCTTTTAATTATTCACTAGATCAATTTGAAGTCAATTCAAATTTAACGATTAATTTATGAGTAATGAAATTTAATTTCGTTAATCTTACCTCCATTGCAATCCAACGTCTGGTCAACGTGCTGAAAAAATTTTTTTTTAAACTTATGTCATGTATACTGCTTTAGAAGTAATATGCAATTTAAATTTCATGGAGGGCAAAGATCTGGGGCGCTAGCTCTTTCACACAACCCACACTTAACCAAACAAACAGTTACAAAAGATGAAAATCTAGGTCTACAAAAGGAATCATTTTGGGTTGCACACTTTACGTGTGGGGGGTTTTGTGAGGAGGTAAATTATTGTGTATTATAAGCAGTCTCGTACACCCATATTCATACACTGGTTTTGCTTTGGGGAGCAGATGTGGATTTAAAAAAGTAATTCTGAATCAATTTTTTTTACATAAAAACAACCCCCCTCTTTAATAGGATACCGTTTCTGAAGTGCAATTCGTGAGCAAAGGCGGCCATTCCCCGGGCAAATTGCCCTCCTACAAAAAAATTATGCCATAGCTTGAGACTTTGTAGCATCAGGAACTGCAAGAGCTTGCGATTATGTTTCAATAATTATTCCATTAGCAAATTCCGTTTAGTTTTTGAAAGCAGGCAAAAAAGTCAAGGAATCAACAGTATAATGTAAACAAAAATGTTTTCTGAGCATTTCCCCTTTTTTCTGACACACCTCTACAATGGGCTTTAATTATGATCACCTTTATCGCACAACAGCGACCAATTCGAATTTTGCAACCATTTTCCAGACTCATCCAGGTTTCGTTTGCCATAAAATGGTCCAGTTCAGAGCTGGTGTCTATGTTGAGGACGGAGGAATTGCCAGCACACTGAATGGAACTCCAGTTTGTTTTTGTCGCCAAGACATCTGGTATCTATAAACGGTGCCGTTTTCATCAGTCCTCTCTATCAACATCTTTGAGGAATGAAATAGGGAAAACAAAACCTTTCATGAGTATGAATGAATATTCGTGTGTACCTTTGGTACAGGTCCGTTTAACCTTCAGCCTCAGCTGTGGGAAAAAAAAAGTTTCTTGCTTGAGGCCGTGCAAAGAATATGATGTTTGCATCAGCAAAAGGCGGAAAATTATCAATCAAGATAAAGTTCTCATTCTATTAGAACTTTATTTAACTAATTTCCATTGAATTAATTTCCACCATCAGTATAATACACTAATTCTATTTCTGTAATAATCTTGGCTTGTCTTACCGTGTCTCCGCATTTTCCTTGACCATTATTATAACAAAATGTAAGATTAAGTACTAACAGCGCCAGCCAGTAAGCTCTCTTCCCAGCTATTCTGCCAGCCATCACAGAATTACTGCCAACAAAGAAAGACAATTTACATTTCCGTTAGTTCTCTTTAAAAGATGTCCACATGCAATAACTAGGAGACACAGAATCATGTAATCCTAAAAAGACCTTGTTGGACTAACTCAAAGCCTAACGGCAGACACCGCCTTCAGGGGCGCAACTGTTTGGATCCTCTTAAAATTGTCTGGCAATGTTGAATGTGTACACCTTCTTTAAATGATTGCGTTCAAATGCTTTCCCTGCCAAACACAACGATGTGCGGAAATTTTTACTTTCAAATATTTCTACTTTTCCAAACAAAATGGCAAAGAGGATGAATGGGGGATTGAAATGACTGAAGAGAAGCAAAACGAAAACTCACCCCTGCCTGAGTACTACCAGAACGAAAGGATTATACCGGTAAAAACGCCAGTCGTAATTCCAACCAAGTGAAGATTACAGGGGTGATACAATTCCACACCCAACCTCAGATAACAATACAAATCGTACGTCAGAGATTCATGTGCCACCTGGTGCTTCGTAATCAGTTACTTATCGATATCACGAGTAGGTGGAATTAGATGAAAATGAACCAGATTTCAAGACAGTTGGCGGCCTGCAGTCATAATGTCTCCACCACTGACTGTCATGACCATAGCGTGACAAGGCATAGTATTCCATTAATGGTAAAAGACCTGATCATCAATTTTTTAACGGTTGTTCCGTTTTGATTCTCCATCCATGGTCGACATTTAATGTCTTGCGCTCAGGGTTGCATAAAATTCTCATGGGTGCACCCTTGTATTTAGGCCAGAAATATGTCCACCATGCTCATAAATAAACGTTATGCACTCGAAATATTCTATATTAGAGGGTCCTGAGAGCCATGGAACAGGGGAATTGAAGAACTATGAAACTGAACCTCTGGGCCGGACTCAGGGCTTCCAATTCTTAGCAATTTGGATGCGATTGGGTGCGAAAGTGGCACTATTTGAGCCGTTTTGCAGAGGGATGGTTTTGCAAAATGGCTACTTTTCTGGAAAGGGACAATTTTCTTCATTTTAGGGGCGGTCTGCTTCTGTTGAATATTTCTCAAAAATTCATTGGTCAACGCCCCCCCCCCCGAAAATTGAAGGGAAAATGAAAGGGGACATGTGGAACATCATTTTTCTGTGCAGCCTGAACACCTGTGAGAGTTGTGAGTATTTTAAAAGTATTTGTGAAGTATGGAGATTTATCACTGCTGTCTATGGGAATTTATTTGTAGTGGTGCACCCTCATGCGGAAGAGTTAAAGATTTGCGTGCTAACACGCCACCGCAAGAGGGCGACGTAAGGTGAAACGGCAATCACACTCAATGATCGAGTTCGGGTGGCTTGTTCTTAAGGTTTCTTGTTCTCGCGCTCGAACGGTGGGAACATGACTCAAGAACACTGTTCACGGAACAGGATCACGCACCACCTCCTCGTCAGGGTTTTACAAGAACACACGGAAAAACTCGTGAGATTTTGATTTTTGAACAGCTGCAAACATGGCAAAAAGTAGAGTGATGACTTACAAAGCCAGAGACTATAGGAAACTTTGCAAAAGTAACATTAATTATTCTTCATAACACATAAATGAATGTTCATGTTTAAACAGAAAAGAATTCAGCCCAGTTATCCAAACATTAACTCTCGAATAACGTACATGGACGTTGCCATGTTGCATATTGCTTGTGACTAACTACCAGCGATAACTTGGTTGTACGTTCCCGGCGTTAGAGCGGCCGACCCAAGAACAACAAATTGAGCTGTTCGCGAACATATGAGAACAAGCTGCCCGAACTCTTCAAGTTATCTCCATTATCTCCGTGATTTCATGCACATGTCATGCACCGTAATCTCGAGAAGTGGCTGTCTTAAGAAGCGGCCAGGTCATACTTCACGTAAAAACAATCACAGGCATGAATATTTGACGTCAGATCAAATATTTGGGCTGCCGCCCCTTCCCCCTCCTTGAAGAAACGTTGAACTCATTTTAGCTCACTTTAAATCTTTCGTGACGTCAACTCACTGCCACAAGGGCTGACAACGTTTTTAGGAGCGCAGCTGTCCTGTGTTTGGTCTTTGTTTTGTGTTTGGATCGCTCTTAAATTGTCTGGCAATGTTGAATGTGCCTTCTTTAAATGATTGTGTTTAAATGCTTTCCCTGCCAAACACAACGATGTGCGGAAAGCTTTATTTTCAAATATTTCTACTTTTCCAAACAAAAAAGGGCAAAGAGGATGAATTGGGGATTAAAATTACTGAGGACAAGCAAACAGAAAACTCACCCTTGCATGAGTACTACCAGAATGAAAGCACAGGGTTGCATAAAATTTTCATGCGGAATAGTTAAAGATTTGAAAATCTTTCGTGACGTCAAACTGGCTGGCTTTGCTTTCACATTTGTCTGCTTTAAAGCATATCGCACCCGCTCTACACTCGGCATTACACATCTTACAAATTACTAGAATAACTTCATTAAACATAATTTTTCGCGAATTATACACGTGACTTATTGCAAATCAAACCAATTTCTGGAGTGAATCACTTACTGAAGAATCAGGGTCAAGCGTTTTCCTCTTGGCATTTATCTGTAGCTCATCCGAATCAGCGGTGTATCCAGCTTGGGCGGCCGGATTGGGAAACCTGCCCCCTGACCTTTTTAAAGATTATTTAATATAGGTAAGAAATTAATCAGTATATTTATTTATCAATTATTAGAGCCAGAACCCTAAGAAAGCAACATCATGAAATAAAAGCATTAAGGATGTCTGGACAGCGAGTAAGGCTTTGATTTTTTTTCTCCCCAACATCACGTTGAATCAGCCCGCTTTCCCTTTCGCAATATTTCAATATGGTTTTTCATGAGAGCAAAAAGCGGTGAGATGACAACTACGATGCTTGTTGGTGGGGGAATTAAGGTGCTGACGTTGGAGTAACACTAGCAAGTAGCAGTTCATCAAATGGTCAAAGCAAAACGGCAGTGCTTGAAATATGGAGCTCTTACCATATCCCGTGGGTAGAGACGAAAATGTCGCGCCCACGTACAGATTTTTCAATAGCCGATGCAACGGTTTAAACTCGGCAAGGTGAAATTTTCCAGCAGCATATTCTTAAGAACTGTGCAAATGGGTGCACTGCCCAATTTAAGGGGAATTCTTGGGCAGGCCGAGGCGCTCAAAAAGTACCCCTACAGTTTATTTGAAAAAGAGGAGATTGTGTGGTCCAAGAATTTGTGGGATTGTGAAAGAATGGCCCAGAATGAACTCCCTAGATCCACGGGCTCCCATCCCAGGGCGAAGCATAGAAAAATACCACTGAAAAAATTGTCCCAAGAGCCCGAAACGGTGGAGAGATGTTATATGAAATATGGCTGCTGACAGACAGATTCACTTTTTGGGAGATGGGCTTGTTTTTGGTGGATAATTAAAAATTTCAATGGTTAACCTCCTAAAAATTGAAAATCAATTAAGAACTGAATGACCCCAGAACACTCTGTTTTTTGTTTGAGAGACCTGAGGGACTTTGGTTGCCAGCACTGGGGCTGCAAACGTGGTCGATTTTACATTGTCTTAAATTGGGCTTCAATTAGTTCAGTGCACCCAAACACTGCTCAGACAACTGACCCTGCGCTTACGGCCGCCGACACACTTGACACGCTCGCCATCTTTCGTATAACATACTCTAAATAATAAGACTTGCATAGGCTCAAAATTTCCTTCTGGAAGGACCAGTCAATCCCTGTTTATTCTCCTCCTTTCGTAGTCTTCCCCCTTCTACCAAACTCTCCTGACCAACCCTCCCCAGTCCCAATGTTATACAATGTAGAACACTAATGCCGGGTAGATGTAACTAATAATAGTACGCTGGCACCATAGCCTCGGCCCCAGTCGCTGGTATTATACAATTCCATATCACTACATTCGTATACTTTCAGTTTGCATAATAGGTTAATGTATGCTGACCCCCTCGCTTATGATTCGTTGGGATGCCCCAACGGGGCAGCAAAATCGAAAACATAACGAAAGACATAATAAATTCTTGACAAGTTGGAAAAGACCTCGTGGCTGCGCCCCTCGTGCGTGTGGTCTCCAGTCCAGCCGCTATGCAGTTACACATAAACACAGCCGCGAAGGCCTTGATGAAAGGCTAGATATGCCGCTGATCGGAATCATCTGCACACACGAAAAGCCCTATTAGAATTACATATACAGTTTTAGCAGAAATTTCTCCATTTCATATTTCAAAGCATATGTGCATGTAACTCTATACATGTCTAGTAGTTATGCATGGATTTGCAATGTTTCGACCCTAAAAGCTCATTACAAAATCACAAAGTAAAGAAGTTCATTCTTACCAGTCAATGTCTCGAACTTGCATGCAGAAGTCGTTAGTGTAACCCCCAGCCTAAAAAAGAATCCTAAACAGCCCCTTACGTCAAACAACGTCCAAGATCTAGAGAGAGCGGGGAGAAAAATTTCCCCCGAAACCCAAGCACAGATATTCATGATCACATCGTCAGCGTTATAGCAATAAAACCCACAAAAGAAGTTTTACAAGGTTCCCTTTACTTCTCATTAACTGACCCGTTGTTTTATTTCCACAAAAATATCTCCATATAAAGCCCCCCCCCAAAAATAAAGCATTAGCTATGTACGAACTGTTTCCAAATGGATAACGGATAACAGCCTACTACGGACGACTTCTGCTGTTGAATTCACCTCCCAAGAGCTTCAGGCTACCATCTAAGTCGCTTTTAGTCGGGTTGTTGGATGCCCTAACGGATTTGGCGATCTCCGATATTGATTGTTTTGTGATTATCGTAATGTAGTGGATATGTTTGGCGTGATAGGTCGAACTGCATGCGTCAGTCGGCTTTCGGTCAATCCTGATGGAAATGTTCCATAACTGCAAATCAAAGAAATAAAATTAATTGGATGATAGGGGAGGTTGGGGCAAGTGGGTCATCGGGCAACTGGCCCACTCTTAGGCCAAGAACAATTAAAAGGTTTTGAAATTTAGCAGTTGCGTTTAAACAACAATATTTATTTCTATCAGAGGTTAAGCTGAACATAGATTGAGGCCCATGGGAGAAATATAAATACATCTGAAAAATAAACTTCAAATCATGACTTAGGACAGTAAAAATGCCCAAACCAAACAACTCCATGCTTTGCTAAACATTCCAAAAACAGACATTGCGTGACTGGAGGAAAGATACAGGAATTTACTAATTTATTTGTTGTATTGAACTTTGGTGCTTTTGAGATAATTACAGTTGTTAATTTCAATGTTTTTTATCAATTTACTCATTCCACCATTCATTTTGTACCCTTTTGGTGGAACGTTGTAAGGTTTTATGATGTGGTCCACTTGCCCCGGGTATGGGGCTAGTGGTTCACTTTTTGGATTAATTTTTAATGAGTTAATATTCATAAGTTTTATTAATGTAATTGATTTCATCTGTTTTCAATAAACAAGTGTTTGGGTCATATATTAAGAGTAGTGCCATTTCTTTTCAGTATCTAACGATATGCACGCTCGATCGAGCTTGTTACGTAACCTTATTGTAACGCTTGATAACATTTGGCTTTATAAGTAGCGTACACGCCGTAAGGGCTTCCTTCTCGGTACAAGCACTGAAACCTCACTTATTGCACCATGAATACCGGCTGCGAGCAGGCTTTGAATCACGATACTATGCCGTACATACGCTACAGCAGAAACTAGCGTCGACTACCAAGAAGCAGAAGTTATCGGGCACATCCGTACTGCACAAGGGCGACGGCAACAGAGAGCAGTTCGAACATTCTGAAAATATTAACATTTAATCGAGAGCGCTTTGGAATCTCTTGACAACGTGGATTTCAACACAGCCAAAGCAAGCTTGCAACAAACCTTAGAGGCCACTAGCAAGAGACACAAGCTGATCAAGTTGGCTGACCGCAAATCGATTTGCATCATTTTGTTTTTCATGCAAAAACAAGTCGAATATTACATTACAAGTCGAATATTGGCATTTACGCACTTCCGTAGTTCGCAGTTTGCACAAGCGATCTTTGAACCTGTTCCTAAGGTGAACTCTGACCCCTTAGCAAGATCTAAGCTGGGCGTATTTCCACGTTTGAGAAACATATTGTGTAATGGGCAGAACATTGTCGGAAATATAGCTGTAGACTTTCAGATATTTTGAGCTTATCTGAGGCACATGTATTTACCTCAGAGCAGAGTTAACATCCCAACAGTACGAGTTTGATTGAACAGTGAACTGGAAATGGTAAGAAAATCATTGTGTACTGGTATATCTAAAACGTTGCACATTCTAGGTTATTGCGCTTTAGTTAAAAATGAACGACGGTTTCAGGCTGCTGGGGCTGTGCACGATAAAGGCACCGCAACCAAAAAAGTGCAGCAATAGGTGCACACAAGCAGTATGGTGAACCTGTGTCGGGAGTGAGGGGGATGACCAGTGGGGGGGGGACTAGAAACCATGTGACATCTGTGGTGTTTTATGCGTAGTACAGGGGTTGGTGATGATGGAGTTGACAAGTCGAAGGCTGAGAAAGCCAGCATGCAACATATGCGAGAGGAAGATATCATGAGCAGTATTTTATCGTGTGAATTGTGCCTATTATGTTAAAACTTAATCATTGTACACCATCATCCCTATCTATACATGTCGCTTTTTCTGTCTCTGGTAAAAAGGGAAGTTGCAAATACAGAATAATGTGTCTCAGTGCATCAAATGATGCCGACTTCCAAAGGTTTATACATTTTATAAAGCAAAAATTGGGCAAAGGGAAAAGGAAAACTGGAAACAACAGTACACCGCCAAACTGGTATAAAATAAGAAAACAACGTAAGTAGCATACTTCTTGAGGCATTGGGGCTATCACAAAACATTGTCAGTGTCTCTTGTCTCTGCAAAAATTGGATCCTGAAGGATCCGTGTATATTTTCCCAAAATGCTGCCTGTGTGAAATTCCTTGGTATTATCGTCACGTACCATACCGAGGGTAACTGATAATCTATGCCTAAATATTCTGCCTGTTTGAAGAGCCATGTATTTATTAAAATAATTCATGGTACCCCGTTAAGCACATCGAAAACCTCGATTGGTGGGGGAAGCACGGATGTAAGGGCTCAGAGTACACGCACTTACTGCTAGCTAAACACTGTTTCTCTTTTGATAACTATTAATAGGTGGAAAATAACTTGAAGATGGCAGAGTCCACCACTAAAACTGTGCTAGGTGAGATCAGCCAGGGTCACCTAGAATGTCCAATATGTCTCTGCCGTTTTAAAGAGCCTAAGATTCTGGACTGCCTCCACAGCTTCTGTTTGAACTGTCTGAATGGAATGTTGAGTTCCCAGCAGGCAGACACAGGAAAGATCCGGTGCCCAGTCTGCAGGAAGGAGACTCCAGTGCCGGAGGTTGGCGTAACTGGTCTCCTGGACTGTTTCTTCCTGAGTTCCCTGGTGGATGAGTTCAACCAGCGGGAACAGTCACTGGAGACCCTACAAGCAGCGACCGCACCGACATGCGGCGATTGCGTAGAGGGGTTGGAGGCTGTGTCACGATGCCTAGACTGCGAGGAAAATCTTTGCCACCTGTGTAAGGCCGCACATGAACGCTCAAAACGCACCAACAAACACCAGATCATCCCAATAGACAGTCCAATCACAAAGCAGGCCAATAAAGAACACCTTGGCGGGAAACACTCACCTAAATGTCAGATGCATGCCAACCAGTGCATGCATTTTTACTGCGAGACATGTGAGCTGTTGACATGTGGCACTTGCGCCGCGATTAATCACCGATCGGCCGAGCACAAATACAGTGAAATTGCTGATGCTGTGAGATCTCACCGTAAAGAAATAGATGAGGTTTTGCAGAAATTTCAGGAGAGCAAAGAGGAATCTAGTTCTATCGAGGAGTCGATTGACCACGCACGAAATAGACTACGAATAATGGTGGCCCGAGCCCACAACGACATTCAAGCTAAAGAGGAAGAAGAGATTGCCAAGATCAAAAATAATTCCCGAATTCTCAGGGACGAGATTTCTGACATTGGTAAGAAAAGAGATTGGGAGTTTGAAACAGTGCACGAACAGAATAAGAAGAAAATGGAACGAGTAGAAACTATCGTGGCAGCAGTCACCGAATTAATGCAACAAGCCGATGATTTCGAGCTTTTAAATTTGAGGCCAAAGGTGATGCACAACCTGGATTTCCAGAAAGAGCTCGTGTTTGAGAAGGTGAATCACGGCAAGTCATACATTGGAGTCAACTGCCAAGCCATCGTGCAAGATAAAGATCTTGGGAATATACTTCATAAAGAGAAATGGAAGTTGAAAACCGAGTTTGGTAAGGAAGGAGATAGAGACGGAGCATTCAACTGTGCAGCAGGTGTTGGCTGCTTCAGCAATGGTGACATTGTTGTTAGCGATAAACAAAATGAGCAAGTAACCATGTTTTCTTCTGCAGGACACTACAAAGCAAAGCTTAATGTGAAAGCGCCTTTTGGGATTGCTGTGTCGCCTGATGATCGCCTTCTAGTCAACTGTAAAGATCATGTAAAAATTCTGGGCGCAGACCATCAATTGATTTCTCAGTTCACCTTTTCACAGACTGATCACAAAGAGGAGAACCCAGCGGAATGTGTTACTGGAGGTATTGCAGCTGTCGATAGTAAACAGGTAACAGTTGTGCACCAGGGGAGAAGGGCCACGTCCCAGCACTGCTTGGATGGGTCTTTAGTGACAGTTATACCTCATACTGCCGTGGCTATAGAGGATATTGCTGTCAACAACAAAGGACGTTTAGTTTTTACGAGTTACGATAGCTGTCAACTGGGCTGTATAGATTTAAAAGGCAAGGAGATATTCAGTACCCTTATTTCTGTTGATGGACAACCAGCAAAACCTGTTGGCGTATGTTTGGACAATGCGGGCGACATTTACGTTACGCTTCATTGCAATCAAGACGGTTATGTCCACCATTATGACCCGATGGGGGCTTACATTGATTGCGTTGCTAAAGGATTGTACTGGCCATTTGGCATCGCGTTTTCTCCTGGCGGGGAACTCGTGGTGGCTGATCAGGACTCCATTAAGATCTTTCAGCGAGTTTGAGCAAATAAGGCGCTGAATCTACATTATATGTGTATTGGGCCCACAAATGTTGAATTCCCATAAGTATAACTAGGAGTTCATATTCATCATTATGACTGAAAAACAGCTGGGAAAGACCTGCCGATGTTCATGTAAATGATGATATTTATTCTGACATTCACTTTAAAATACAATATAAACTGAAAATTATCTAAAGTCAGTAAGATACTGCAGGATGGCCAGGAATGCATTACATGTTTCCAAAAGGTGTATGTCTCCCGAAACCCAAACCAGTGGCGTAAATCTGTAACGGAAGTGAGGGGATGGGGAATGACCTGCCCGGCCATGGAAATTTGAAAAGTGGCGGCGGGCATCATATGTTTCTGTATAGTCGAGGTACACGATATTGGTGTATAATCTGCATTATGCATTCAGAATATTTTATTGCTTGTAATGTTTTTCCCATTTTTTAGTGATATATTTAGTGAAAGTCTAAAATATTCTTCACAATTAACCCGCTTTACTTTTTGGCTCACCACGAAAAAAGAGTGAGCAGGGGAGGGGTTATTCAATAGCCCCACTCGAAAAATTGGGGGGGGGGGTTATATACCCCCATCCTCTCTGGAATTTACGCCCATGACCAAACACAAAGTAAGGTAAGAAATGGCACATAAAAGCAAGTGTCATCTATCAATATCTGTATCTCTTACTCTCACCAAGAAGCTTCCAGCTGTCTAGGCATTTTCTCTGATATTCTGTTTATAATTGCTTAATGTAGGCTTTCACCGGCACACGTCAGGCAAATAATGTTCATTCAATCCATACTGTCTTCATTGCAATGAAGATCGAAGAATTTTACTTGTGCGTTTTCCTTTGGTATTAGATAATTTTTAACCGTATGTTTTGAAGTTGGGCTATGTCCTACTAGAATATGTACTGCCAAATTTCTTTCACTTCAGGCCCCCCTTACTTCAATAACTTAAAATTATTGTCGTTATTTTGGTGAGGCTCTTGAACATGTTCCAAATTTTGTAGTGTTGCATGATTATTTAGAAAATGTCAAATTACCAGCTAGTTTAATGAAATTAAACGGTTGCTCCCAAAACGGCAGGACATTAAATAACGTGCTTGTTTGCATCTGCAGTTTTACAGACTCTATTTCGGACATGAATACTTATCTGATTTTGAAGTAGTTTCACTCAATCGGACTGTCTCGAAAGGACGATCCCGCTCCTGTGTCCTGCAGATGGACTCGACATCTGTGGCTAGGATGATGTCACTGGCCCGGGTCGTGTCCAGGCCCGCGTCCTTTGACAACTGGGACACAGAAAGCGCCGTTGGCATTGTGTTAGCAAAGTTGGACGACATCACCCCATGCCAAGGCAGCTAGGATATTCAAAAGATGCAAATAAAAATTTATTTATGAATCTTTTTGTAAAGATCTTGGAGTAATCTGTGTTAGATTCAGCCTTCATACAAAACATAACCCAAAACATATTGTAAAGTTTAATGTTGTGAATCACTTCATAGGGTTCTATGTCACACATTTGAGCAGCTTTCTTGAAGTGTCTGCTTTGACAGAAAAGACTAATCAATGTTCTGGGCGCTGCTTATCCGCCCCAACCACTATTTTATCGTCTATTTGCGTGATATAGGTATTTACACGAGTGACAGCGATGCGCAGTGAGTGGATTTTGGTTGACGGATCCTGTCTTCATTTTCACATCTTAATAGAAACCTTACATACGTGTAGATCTGGAGTTTTCACATTGCATGTTATCAGCAATTTTCCACAAAACTGAATAAGCTAAAGCGTTTCTAATTTAATGAAAACTTACAATGTGATACAATTTTGTAAACGTTATGTTGCTAGTTTTACCAGTTTTGCCTCTCAGTGCGTCGCATGGTATTGACAGAGCTACCTCATGTGGGCCGATATCGGTCCGGTGATGGTGAGAATACGAAGTCGGTGAGCAAACAAAACATTTGAGCGACTCCACAAGACCAACTGAAGGAAGTTTGAACTTCATTTGAAACTGACCCGTTCGAAATTTAACAGTGATATCTGCTCGTAGGTCGCCAAAGGTTTGTTGATGGCTCTGCAGGAGTAAATTGCGTTGACGTTTAGCGTAACTTGTAGCAAAAGTGGCTAAACATTCCTTTACTCTTTTTACTCATTTGAAAGTTAATTTAGAGCAAGACAAATAGTTGGCCCTATTAGTACATTCGTCATTTTTACCCCAAATTGTCATGTTTTTCGACCAAACAGCTCTTCTTCCAAACAAAAACAAAATGATGAGAACCATTTCATTAAAAACAGATGCCAACAAGTTTGAGACATTTACAATGATATAAATACAATCGACAGCTTGAGCTGAGGGTATGGTGCCTTTATCGCTTCTTATTTTTAAAGTGTTCTATTTGCGTTGCAAGCAGGTATAATTATATTACTCTGCCAGGAAAGAAACAGATAAAAAGACATTACGTACAGCAACGCAATGTCTCAGCTACAGCCTCCAAGACGCGGTTTTGCCCCTCGTGAAGTCACAATGCAAAATACTTAGCAACATTTTATTTGAGTTATAGCGAGTCTGAAACTACAATATTTGTTAATTTCTTCGGGTAAAGACCGACCAGTATCTGTGACTTTATGTTTTGAGATCGGAAAAAATCGTTGGATACAAAGACCAACTTAAAGTTCAGTTGTTCAGTATCAACTTCCCTTTTTTGATGTACATGTTCTTTTATTTTATCAGACATAGTCATAATGGTTTGCTTTGTCTACATTATGATCTGACTAATCGTAAAATGTTGAACTCTGTTGGTTTTAAGCGAGGCATTTTTTTGTCTCTCACGGTAACTCCTTTTTTGCCAGTCGACTGTCACCTTAATAAGCGTTTGTCAAAATTTGCTAATTGTTAGGCCTATGTTAAGGACATTGTGTTGTATTATAGAAGTGTGAAAAAAAATTATTTAAAATAAAAGAACCACTCCCATCATGCACAGCAGCACCAGGCTTTCAAGAAACAAATAATCCGAACAATGCCATGGTTATCATAGTTATGTTGGTGTTGACAGCCAAACTACATTGCGTTAATAGACTCAAAGCATATTGTAGGCCTAATTAAAGAGGCAAAATATCGAGGTTGCGTTGTTTCTTTGGCCACAGATGAAAGTAATGCGTACTTTTGTCACTGCCCTACTTGCTCCACAGACGCTGCCTATTTACGTTTCCGACTAGAGTCCGAGCAGTGGAGGCGGTTCGTGGTGTCACTTGCACCAACAAAAATTGTTGCATGTTACGACAGTGCGATCAACCTTTCCGTTTTACCACTCCGCATCATAACCTTGGACAAACGAAGGATCATTGACGATTCTGCCTTGCCCACACTTATACCCACAGCCATCGAGGTCTGGCGCCGCTGAGTGCAAGTCAGTGACATGGAGTCCATTGTAACGATTCTTGTTGACGATAGAATAATGTCACGTTATTTAGGTGCTTGGTCTGTCGATCGACCAGTTGATACTTCTTTGGTGGCTTGAGTTAGCTTCTTGGTTATAAGCGTGGAGAGTGAGGGTAATTCGTGCTCTGGAAGATTGCTACCGGGAATGGTGAAATGGATTGGGGAAGATTCGATCAGGTAAAATGTAAAAAATTAATAAAAATCACGTGGAAAACTCGTATCTTCTCAAAATCTGTTTCAACGAATTCCAACTTTAAGACCTAAGCTGCAGTTGGTACGTATGTAGAAGCGGGATAGAAAAGAAACCTTCAAGGAAATGAAAGGGTAGGGCTTACCAGACTCAGTCAGGTCACCAGTTTCAATTCTCGTGGTCTCGTTCATCAATTTTCTTGTTGATATTCTGAAAAATGAAAGCAAAAACTCTTGGAAGGCAAAAGTCTATACAAATATTATCCTACTTGCATTTAAACAGATACAAACTTAATTTCAAAACAGGTTTTGTAGTTTGCTTTGTGTTGTGTAAAAGGCTAAAATGTTAGGACTAAGCTTGAGGGAACTTCGAAAAAATATTTTTCGGGCAAAATGTTCAAGTTGAATATTTGGTCCATGTCTGAGTATCCCAAGATGGCTGGTTTGATTTGGCTTTTATAAAACGCTTTTAAAGCAAAGGGGTGAAAGTTGCGATTTTCCGGACCTTTTTTTGGCAATGCGGTACGAGCAATCACTGCACAGACTGTCTCCAAGTCTGGTTTTTAAATTCTACAAAGAAAAAGGATTGAAAAAGGTGATCATGAAATCTGACAGGATATGTGAACAGTGTACTGTAAAAACTGTGGTGTAACACAGATAAATTGGTCAGATCAAAACGGACGTTTCACAATAGTGCACCTCCAAGAGTTTGCAACGCGTTGGCCGATCACAGTTGAGAAATTTGTCGACCTTGTCCAAACGCGCGTTGGGTCGATAAATTTCGCGCATTATGATTGGCCAACACATTGCAAACTCTTTGAGGTGCGCTTTTGTGAAACGCCCCGATATGTCCATAAAGTACTTACACAAGAAGGGGGCNGCGAAATGCGACGGACGACGGCAGATATGGAATTCCATAACAAACGAAGGATCATTAACGATTCTGCCTTGCCCCACACTTGCACCCACAGCCATCGAGGTCTGGCGCCGCTGAGTTCAAGTCAGTGACTTGGACTCAGTGACTAGTCTACAACTCTACTGACATGGAGTCCATTGTAACGATTCTTGTTAATGATAGAATAATGTCCCGTTATTTAGGTGTTTGGTCTGTCAATCGACCAGTTAATTGATACTTTCTTCTTTGGTGGCTTGGGTTAGCTTCTCAGTTATAAGCATGGACAGTCAGGGTAATTCGTGCTCTGGAAGATTGCTACCGGGAATGGTGAAATGGATTGGGGAAGATTCGATCAGGTAAAATGTAAAAAAATAATAAAAATCACGTGGAAAACTTATATCTTCTCAAAATGTGTTTCAACAAATTCCAACTTTATGACCTAAGCTGCAGTTGCTACGTATGTAGAAGCGGGATAGAAAAGAAACCTTCAAGGAAATGAAAAGGTAGAGCTTACCAGACTCAGTCAGGTCACCAGTTTCAATGCTCGTGGGCTCTTTCATCAATTTTCTTGTTGATATTCTGAAATATGACAGCAAAAACTCTTAGAAGACAAAAGTCTATATAAATATTATCCTACTTGCATTTAAACAGATACAAACTTAATTCAAAACAGGTTTTGTAGTTTGCTTGTGTAAAAGGCTAAAAAGATAGGACTAAGCTTGAGGGAACTTCGAAAAAATATTTTTGGGCAAAATGATTAAGTTGAATATTTGGTCCAAGTCTGAGTATCCCGAAACCAAGATGGCTGGTTTGATTTGGCTTTTATAAAACACTGTTAAAGCAAAAGGGGTGAAAGTTGCGATTTTCCGGACTTTTTTTGACAATGCGGTACGAGCAATTACTGCACAGACTGTCTAAAAGTCTGGTTTTTAAATTCTACAAAGTGAAAGGATTGAAAAAGGTGATCATGAAATCTGACAGGATATGTGAACAGTGTACTGTAAAAACTGTGGTGTTAACACGGATAAACTGGTCTGAGAAAAATGGACGTTTCACAATAGTGCACCTCCAAGAGTTTGCAACGCGTTGGCCAATCACAGTTGAGAAATT